AGAGAGTAAGATTGTTTTTTTGTGTGGGGGGGGGGGGGGGGGGGGGGGGGGGGTGGATTGCTGAATGATTGCTGAATGTCCAGACAGTAAACAAAATCTCAGCTTTGAATAACAATCAGCCTGAGTGGTGCTTATTTTATGATGATGACTATTTATTATGAAACTTATTTTGAATTATGATACTATTTAAATGAACTGAGATAATAATGAAGTATATTAGAATTATTAGCATAATTATAAAGACTGTGGAAAGACAGAACATGAGCACAGCTACACTATTGCTAAAAAGTTTGCAGTCAATATTTTTCCAATTAATACTTTTATTCAGTAAGAATGCACTAAATTGATATGACATTAAAGACTTGTTACAAAAATGTTCCATTTCAAATAAATGCTGTTTTTTTTTACCAAATGTGGATTTAAGAATCCTAAAAAAAAACACTATTTTAAACTTTGATAATAAGAAATATTTCTTGAGCACCAAATCAGCATATTTGAATGATTTCAGAAAGATCATGTGACAATGAAGATTGGAGTAATGATACTAAAAATTCAACCTTGCTATCACAGGAATAAATCCAATTTTTAAAAAAATATTCCAGTAGAAAACAGCCATTTTAAATGGTAATAACATTTCACAATACTGCTCTGTATTTTTATAATCAGTATGAGTTTAAAAGACTTTTCAAAATCGTACCGACCCTAGACTTTTGGATTGTAGTGTATATAGCAATATAGGATCTGTTTTCTGCAGTTATACAGTGCTGTCCTTGACTGCAATAATTATTCATTAATATCTGACCCCTAAATGCTGCAAACGGCCAATCAGAATCAAGCATTCCACCGAGCTGTCAAATAAGATAAGTGTAATTTACTGGTGTTATAAAAAACACGCACTAATTTATTTATTTGTCATGTGTGCAGTTCTTGTACATCCTATAGCAACACAACAAAAAGCAAGCTATGACTAAATTATTAAAGATCAACCTTTAAAGTGTACAGCTGCCTTAGCCATTACTAACACACCAAGACACAAGAGTAATTTCCTTTCAATGTTACTAGTACCAGTGCATAAATTCTAAATGGGGATCATGATCCCTGCGCCGAATATATATACAAATGTTTTGTCTGTTGACCCAGAATTGTGTGAGAATGGTGCTCTGTGCTTTTCTGTTAAACATATTTCAGAACATAGTACCTCAGGGAGACGCAATAGTTCTGACCGTCTGTAAGCCAATTCTAAAAGTGATTAAAACATAGACATAACAACTAATCCCAAGAGGCAGAAAAAGCATCAAGTATTTCAGCAGGGACTACTGACATTTTCACAGCATTTAAACTGGAGGGGCTGTTAGAGAGACGGAGCTGCAGGGATGGGGTGATGAACGAGGTGGATGATGTACAGAGAGGTTACAACTGTTATTTTCTCTCAAGAGACGTGAGTCATTATCTCCACCAGCGCCTGAGAGAGATGATTATTCACGGCTGATCGCAGGACTGTCTGGAGCGGATCACAGAACATTCAGAGCTGAACTTGTCTGGAAATGTGCGATAGGTCAGGAATATTATAACAAGGCATTGAACATTTGTGTAGAACTCTAGCTGTATGTTACAGGGTATCTACAGTTTTTTTTTCCAAATCAAATGTATAGACATTTTAAGACCTGAAATGTAATACCACAATTAATACCATATGCTCATACAGAACAAACTCATACAATGTCAAAATAAGTCACGTATCTCAGACTCTTTGACTTGTTGAATCCGTGCAACGGCCTGTTTAATCAAGGGCTTAATACAGCAAAACGAGTTTAAAATACTCAAGACACATACTTCAGTACATACCTGTGTACTGAAATTGGTTTATGTTCTAATACCTAAATGCATGCAAATTAGTCATTGACTTTCAAAATATTTTTTTGATACACTAAAGCACTGTCACTACAGTCATCAAAACACGACTTCTGTACAAATTTACTGCCTTCAACAGTGAATTTCAAAACAATCACTGTAAGGCTTCAGACTTGCTGTAAGCAATGTTTCCCTTATTATGCAGAATTATGTGAACAGAGTTGCTGATTCTTTATTGTGTGCTACTCGCTCCCAGGTGTCTTGTCAGAATAATGCAAACGACTGCTTTACAAAAATTCACAGCAGAAAAAATGCAAAAAGAGGATCTTTGCAATGGAAAACAAACTAAATGCAGCAATGACATCTTAGTGGGTTCTTATTATTAATTTGTGCAGTATAGACAACTCCATGATAGAAAGTAGACAAGCACAGATCATGCTTTAAGGAGAACTAACCTTGATGTTTTTTAGACATTATGAGTGTCACAGTGATGCAATTGTGAAATCAATTTAAGATTGATAACATTAAGAAACATCAGAATATCCTCTTTTAAGACAAGGCAGAGCAAGCACGAAGAATTTGATAAAAACATGAATAAAAAAGAAGTACACAGTAACAATGTACTCGGTAATCATCAAAATCAAGCCCTTTTGACCAGCTGAAACTAATTTTACATACAGTACACACTTTAGATGATCTAACCGCTTAATTCACTAACGTGTTGCAAAGTTCATGGAATTAAATATATATTAAATATTCAAAGACTTTTTGAAATTATATTAAAGTGTATATACTGAATGCCAGTGGTATATGAAAAATACTAATAACAGAGAGGGAAATGCTATACTTTTTAATTTACTGTTTACTTTACTGCTAGGAGACTTAATGTGTTTCACTGCTGTTTCTAATAATTTATTAGCCAGAACTGTTAACCAGACAGTAAACTCATGAAGAGTTTGTGTCCATCTGCGCTACATTTTTTTAAACTACAAAAAAGAAAAAACACTAGCCAACCTTATCAATCAGTTAGATTGATGAAAAATGATGAAAAAACTCAACCATCCTCATCCAACTCTATATATAATCTGGGGGGGGGGGGGGGGGGTCGTAGTAATTTTTTTTTTGG